TATCAAAAGCTTGAAGGAAACAAGAGAGGGTAAGTGTCAAGAGAGATTGTTTTCATTACTTTTGGCAAGTGAAACAAATATTCTAATTGTTTTTAAGTTATTCAGATTGGATCATGCTGACAGGCTGCCACAAAGAAAGAGTAGATAGGGAGAAAGAAGTTGGAGATACTGAAGACAGGATATAGCTCTAGAAGGATTCTAGAGAAGATGAAGAGCATTAGGGTGAAGGACATGAATAGGCAGGACAACCTTGAATGAAAGAGAAACATCTGCTCTTCTAAGAATGAAAGACAGGGAGGATGGGTATGGAAGTTTTTAGGTGGTAGGAAGTTGAGGAACACCAGAAAAGATATATTCATTTCCCTCAATAAAACAGATAATGAAATAATCTGTTCAGCATGAAGGATATGTAGGTTTAAGAGGAGGCCTGAGCAGGTCTGGAATTATCTTAGAAAGAAACAGCACCAGGGCATAAGCTCAAGGTAAAGACTGAGGAGTGATCATTGGCTAAGGGAACACGATATTTTAAAAACCGTCTTTGCAATCTTTTTTCATAAGATAATTTATTTCATAATTTGGTTTATGACTTCACATTTCACTCAGCAGTGATTCAGAGTAAGGCAGTACTTACTTTCCTTATTATTTTATAAAAGCTAGCTTCAAATTGAGGTCAAGTCTACAATGACATTAAAATGTCAAGAAAAATCTGAAAAGCATCATCTTATATTTGAATAATTTCTGTTTATATTTTTGTTATATTTGTATAAAGTCCCACTTATATTATCACAAGCAGAATTTTTTTCACCTTAAAATACTACTCTGAGTGGTAGCTATTACTTTTCCTGCTTTACAGATGAAGAAACTGAGTATCAGAGAGGTAAAAAGAATAACATATTCTATATTTTACAGTAGGTAGAAATGTCAGTACTCAACCCCAAGTGTTTTACATGCTGAAGCAGATTTTTTCCACTATATTATGTTTGTTTTAATTGGAGATCAAAGATAACTTAAATTTATTTCTTTTGCCCATGTTTGCTTTGTATTTAAGAAACATAAATAAGATTATCCCAAATCTACCGAAAGAAAAAAATATTAAATTAATCAAAAGTCACTTTAAAGAGTAATATGAACACTTTTTTTACCAGAATCTGATTTTAGACATATCAATAACTTTCATAATTTAAAAATGTATCATGCTTTATAGAAATATATAAGAAACACATTCTAAATTAAAAAATGATCTTCGTTGAGAATCTAAATGTAGTTAAGTGACAAGTCAGCATTTGTGACAAATATTAATCCCTGTTTTTTTCATGTTTTTAAGAGTTCTTTTATAGATATAAAATAATAGCCAAATTAATAATAATAAATAATAGCCAAAAATAAAAGCCAATCTTAGAAAGCAGGTCAAACTTTTCACCAAAGTTTGCAACTAACATCTAGGGTTTTTCTAAAACCATTTCAACTGTCGGTATATTTGAGTTTGCAATTTGATGAGCCTACCAAAACAGCGATGAATCTACCAATGTTTGAGAAGAATTCAAGCTAGAAAATCTTACCTAAAACACTCTCAACTGTACAAGAATTTATAATATTCCCGAAAGTATAGAATCACCATAATTAAATCTACAAATTTCAACAGATCTATGTCTGTCACCAGACACAGAATATTTCCAGACAAGAATATTTCTATGTATGTACATTTTCGGGCCCAAGCCTTAATAATAGTTCAATAGACTTAAGAACATAAATTTGTCACCAACGCCCAAAATAATGCTTCAAATTCCATTACAGTGCAATAAATATATTATTAAGCATTAAACTAAGAAGGAATGAAAAGGTTTCAAAAATGTGCAGGCATCGATTTCTGAATATACAAACATCACTCCTTTGCATCAGCAGTAGCCTGAGAGTTAATTAGAATTGCAAAGAAACATATAGATTATCTAATTCAATTCCTTAATTTGAGAGACAAGGAAACTAGGCCCAGGGAAGAGAAGCTTACCAAGACTTAGTTGAGGTAAAAGTGGAACTAAAATCCAGGTATCTGGACTCACAGTTTAATGTACTTCCCAGAAGTAGTGTAGATATAAATAACCTCATGTAATTTCATCTGGCAAGCAAATTCAGAGGCTGAGAAGAACTTCAAGGATCATGCTGAGTTTGCTGTTTTATCAAATTCAAAACCACCTTCCATAACAAATGGATAACTAAATAACGTTATAATCTCAGAAGGAAAATTATTCTAATTAATTAAGCATATTATATAAACACTACTCAAACCATATTATTCAAGGGCTCTTCTAAGTAACAGTCAAATCCAAAAATAAATAGTTCTTTCACTATCTTTCTCAGAATCATTCCTACTGAAAATACATAGCAGAAACAAGTAAAATAAAACAAACTACAGTGTATGACAAAAACAACAAATTATCAAACTAGTACTTTTAACCCCACAGCCTTCAATTCTAAATGAAGCAGTGCCAGTTGAGCACTGATTTGCATCTATCACCAATCAAAAAGCAAAATAAATCATTGTAAGAACTCATTGGTTTATATCACTAGCCTGATATATTTTAGCTTCTGGAAAATCATTCTGAAGAACTGAATCATCTGGATCATTTTTATTACTCACTCAGGCTTGACACTGTCTGCACAGTTCTGACTGAAATGTACTTCAGTATGCACCTTTTTTCCAAATGAATATCTATGTCAGGTTTATTTATAGCCACTGCCTTCAATCAGTGCATTTTCAGGTATGAGAAATAAAATCATCTCAAAAATACTTTTCTATAAAGACCTGAAACAAAACCTGGAAATCTTGGCAAATGGTCTTTGAAAAGATAATGAAAGATTTATAACAAAACGTACATTAAGATTTATTGAGAGTCCAGTGAACAGTCATCTTACACTCTTTAATAAGCACATGTAAATTTCATTACGATTAGAAAAGTAACTTAAACTCTAAGCATCTTTTTGCATAACACTTTATGTGCTCCAAAAATATTATCATCACCTTCTCCATTCTCTTTTCCTTATTATGATTTCTCTGAAATTTGGGCACTGTCTTTGTTTCTTACTTAGATGCTTTTCTCTCTATTTAGGAGCTTTTCCTCCTAATTCTTTACAAAAGCAGGGCATGCTTCCCCCTGCTGGGAAAAAATCAAATTACAAGGTACATCAGAACATGTTCCTAAGTACTGTATCAAGAAATCAAGTTCCTGGGAAAGATAAAATATTAAGGAACCAGGTGCATAGCCTTCTCTGACTGTTTTACCAGCCGCAAAAATACGTATGCACTCTGTTAAGAATATCTTTTATAAATTTCTTTAGTTTGGAAGTTTGCAAACACAGTAACTCACATTAATAACTGATGAATTAATCATTGAGCCAGTTGTCCCAAATGGAACTCCAATTAGCAGATCAGAGAAAATGATCAATTTGCAACTTTTTTTAACTTTGAAGAAATCATCAGCTAAATGAAGAAACTTATGGAAAATATATTAAACTATTTTAGAAGGCTTAATTGCATTTTAATCATTTCAAGCAACCTTAAATATTAATATTTATTAACTCATCATTTTTCTATTATTTTTATGGAGTTGACTTTTTGTAACAAAATAGAGGAAGAGTTTAATTTTTAAATGACTTTACTTTTCCATTTTGATTTTTTTTATTCACTAACCAAGAAAGTAGTAAACATAAATGCATTTTACCGCCCCATTTATCCCTAAAACAAGTTTTTTCCTTGAAAACAGTTTAGTTATTTCACGTTTCATGTTTTGATTATAAATCTTTTCCTAATTATTTAGAATGCAAAGATGGAAAAACACTTTACACTTTAATGCTATTATAAATATCAATCCTTCAATAAAATATTAAAATATATCTAATGCCTATTTGCATCATAAATGAAGGAGCAGAATTTATCCTTCCTTGATACAACTAAGTCTCAAAAAAATTGTTTTAATGCTCAAGGGCTTGGGTAGAAGAAGTTGTCCCTTTTAGTTTTTTGCTTTCGGTAAGTCCATAACAACCCCCGTTGCAAAACGGCATTGTAGCCAATTTGATGATGAAGTAATTCATTATTAATGAAGCATTCATCCAAAAAAATCTGCAGATGTTTTTAAAAGGAATGTGTAAATTACTACAGATATCAGGGGTGTCTTTAGTAGTTAGAGGACATTATTTCAACATAAATAGAGTAATTAATATTTCTGTCATACAGAAGTTTGTGTGTGTGTATTTTTTTAAACAACCTTTCAAAGCAACGCAAAAGACTAGACATATATGTCCCTCTGGGAATGGAATCTCCTTTAACATTACAGGTACACAAAAGAAAATGCACAGTTGGTAAAACAGTTGATCAATTATGGAGTATTCCCAGGGACCAATATCTTACAGAGTACCCAATCATCACACTTCAAATAAATTTATAAGCACTTTAGCTTCTCCTTACCACATTCACATACACACAAGAACATGCATAGTTTAATCTAGGTTAATTCTAAGACTTTCCATAGGAAAGACTTTGATTAAAGGGTATCAAAGTCACTGAAAGAGAAAGAAAAGAAATGAAAGAAAGGAGGAAGACAAAAAGGGAAAAGAAGAAATGCTGATCTGTAGCCAACAAGCCCTCAGAACACTACACTGATCACCATTTACTTCCAAACTGATTTCCCCTCCCTCTGCGAAGTGCAAATATCCCTGTAGACCGCGTTACACTTTATGGTTTCTCTATCAGTGATCCTAGCAGGTCACATCACCACTGCCATTACATCTCATAGCTTTGATCTTCCCCCAATTAAGACGTGGAGAAGGAGCATTACCGTCCGCCCCAAGAACTGGCTGTCTGCCTGAGCTCTGAAGCGAGCATCTTCAGGGGGACAGTTTCCGCGAAGGCGTTGACAGGCGTCCCTCCCCAACTTCACTCCCCTAATCGGGCTGCGGCCGAGACGGGCAGCCGGCGGTTTGTGCCCATCTGTGGGGGCAAGTCCTACCTTCCGCCAAAAGGCGCGATGCGTGCACAAAAGATGGATCCAGGCTATCTTTCTCTGCCATCAGCTCAGGCAAATATTTCTCTTCTTCCATAGCGCGGACTTCGGACTGTCCCCGGGCGAAGCGCGAGGTTCCGCTCGCTCGGACGCAGGGTCGCCGGGCAGCGCCTCGCTCCCGCGCTGTTCCTCCTCCGCGCCGCGAGGGGATTTCTGAGCGTCCTCACTGGCCCATGCACCGAGCGCCTGCGACTCCCGCCGTCGGGCTACGCGGCCTCGCGCCCACACCTGCCCGTCCCTTCCGTCGTCCCTCACTCGCGCGGAGCTCCGGCTTACACCAGCGGCCTTAACTGGAGAGGCGGGAACAGGGCGCGCCCACCTCCGCCGACCACTCATTGGTGGTGGTGCCAGGGGAGGCGGGGCGTTCGCGAAGGCCGCGGGCCCTCATTGGGCCATGCTGCACGTCGAGTCGCCTGACTGACAGGAAGCAGCTGCAGAGGGGAGGGGAGCTCGGAAGGTGCAAACGCTTTCTTCTTGCAGCCCAAGCCTTCCCTGGTTATTAGGCATGCCCAGTTCTGTGGAGTCCTCTATGTCTTCAGCTGAGGTGCTGACAGGGGAGAGGGCGGGAAAAGCACAGTTAAACAGAGAGGCCTGGGTCCAAGAGGGTAGGGGAGATGAGGATGAGGAGCGAGCGGCTGAGGGGGTCGGAAAGCGCCAGGGAAAGTCTCAGGAAGGTAAATGGGACTTCACCTGCGTCCCTAAGGCACAGGTGTCTCCTGCCTCTCACGCAGCTCAGACGCACTTCAGTTGTGCAGGAATCAGCAGCGCACTGGGTCTGGAAATATAATTAAGACCCCATTTGATCGGCCGCTGGTATTTCTGATGACCTACATCCCGGGGACGCAGTAGGATGTTCGTTGATAAACAAATAAAGCGGCTGCGGCGCGATATTGTACAGCAACACGCTTCTAGTGCACAATCATTGGGATATTGAATTAGTTCTGGTTACCCGTCCATGCTTCTTTCTCCGATCCCTATCTGTGGAAGGGGCTGGAGCAGGGGCTGAATTTAAAAACTATTAATAAGCAACATAATCAATTAGTCTTAGTTTGTGAAGGAATTGGGAAGACATGTGGAAGAAAGGAGATTAGCAAATAGGTAACTACAGTTGCTCTAATATTTCCCTTTCTCTTTATTTTAGATTTGACATTCTCTTTAATCAAAGTACTGTTGCTGAACTACTTTATATTATCCCACCTCTGTTTAAAGGATAATTAAACCCACGAGATATCACCAACAGCAGAGTCAGAGTCCATCTTTCTCTTACCAATGTGGCCTTAAAATGTAACTTGCTTACTACAAACGCTGCAGAAACAATCCTTCCCAGTGTCTTGGGTCCTCTTTTCATAAACAGTCATTTTCCAATTCCCCTCACCCCCTCTCCCCCACCATTTTTGGTGTGGAAGAGCAGGAATCAACTCTCCTACAAATAAAACATGCTGAAAAATTTCCAAGTTCTCTTACTGTATTCAAATCTTTTCCCTATTTGTTAAAGATTTTTTAGATGAAGTTGGGAGATTATCTTCCATTTGTCTAACATTTAAAAATTTTAACCTCCCTCACATCCATTCAATCAATTTTTCCTTACAGAAGCACTCTGAAAAACATGGGCCAAGTGTTACTTTCTCTGTTTTTATAGATGTGAAAACTGAGACAAAGATAAAGAACCAAGTCTCATATCTGGTTAATGCTAAAGTTGAGATTAAAATTCAAGTCTGTTTAGTACCATTCAGCTCCAGATTGTACTGCTTAAGCCTACCTTTCTGTATGTTAAATATTTAATTTACTTATGCATCTATACATTCAATAAATGTGTATTGGATATTGAAATGAGCGTGGGGACTGTACTTGAAATGGGAGAATCATTGGGAAGATGCATGTATTTGTTCCCTATCATACTAGAGAAAGAAATGGTAACTGTTGGCTGCAGTAAAGGCCAAGAAGGAACCAATCAAGGAGTTAAGAAAGAATATAAGGATTTTTTTTTTTTTTTGCAAGGGTAGATATGCAGTCTAGCTAAGAAATTGACGTTTAAGGCAAAGACTAATGAAAAAGAAGGTGTTAGTTGTGTAAAATATCCAGAGAAAGACATTACAGGCAGGGGAATTTGCTCATGCAAAAATTATGTAATGAGAAAGAGTTTGGCATATTCTTGGAATTGACTGAGAGGTCAGTGTGACTACAGTGGTCTAGGAAAGAATGTGATCAATATAGGTGGGGGATGGATGAGGACAAACCACCCAGGATTTGATGGATGAAAAATGAGTTGGGTTTCATTCTAAGTGCAATAGGGGACCATAAAGGATTATTGTCTCTCTGTTTGGATGTGGTTCTCAATCTCTTTCTGGCTCTTACATTACTTCCAAAGAAAAAGACATAATTTATAATTAAGGATATATACAGAGAGTGCGTGCTCTTTCATTTGATTGTGTTCAGAATGTTTAGTAGTTAAAGGATCATTCATCCTGCACCTGGTCTGCAACAGAGACATAAAGGGAAAACATGCCACCAAACTTCAAAGAGGTAGCCAAGATTTGCCATAGTAGTGAAGGACAAATAAGATGCCAACCACAGATAATAAACTGTAAACATTTCAGACTAAATATAAATTAGGAAAATTATTGCACAACAATTGCAATCACATTTTGCTTTGCAGCATACCAAGAGATTAAAAGCATATGGTGCTGATGGGGACATGCACAAACCCAGTTTTATGAATCAAACAAAATATAGTAACTCTTGCGTCCAGCAACAATTACGTTATTATTCACAGTCTTCTTTACCATGATTAAAAGTGCAGATACCACAGAGAGCTATCTGAATGCTGACTTTATTATACAATGTCTCTTTGTATATCCAGGTTATTATAAATATGGTCAGCTACCTAACTTTATTTTTCTTAGTTATCATCAAAACTAAGTATTTATTATTAGTACTTTCTCAGGTAAACCCTCATTAAATGCATTCTAACAGAAACAATATATTTATGTAGCTAAAAAAGAAAGAAATGTTAACCTAACCTTTAGAAAAGTTTGTGTACTTAGTACATGATGGCTATTATAAAATAAAAAAATATGTAAGCTACATTGACCCTCAAGAATTAATGTGCTTTAGAATTGGCTTGCAAAATATTGCCTATTTTTAAACAGAATATGGCTGAATAAAGGCAAACTCCAAATGCCTTGCTTGGCCAGCATCACATCCATGTGTTTTCAATAGATGGCTCTATGTTACTGTGTGTTCTCTACTGATTTCACATACCAATATTTATAAGTACTACATTATTTATTGAATATTCTCAGAGTAGCCTTATGAATGTAAACCTTTTATAAACATGAATGTAAATAAATTAAGAACCTTCTATAAATGATTGTTGAATATAGAATATTTTGTGCCTAAACATGAATAAAATATAAATGCTGGTGAGCCCACTTATTCTTCTAATGACGTAAATATCTTTTTTTTTAAGTGTGAAAATGAGGTTTATTGAGGAGAGAAAGATAGGATTATAGAGCAAGAGTAAGATATAGGTTTACAGAGCAAGATACATATGCCACAGATGACGACCAGACCCATTGTCATAGCAAAAAAGAGACCTTGGTTATGGTCTGGGTCTTGTTTTATAGTGTCTGGATTGGACCCTCCTCATGGCTCAGACATTACCATGGAACCACTTTGATTGGACAGTTGGGAGATATATGACCTGAGTCTTACTACGCAAGCGGATCTCCCATGAGCCTCTCTGAAAGCCCATTTTGGGGGTGGACAGCAACGGCACTCACTTTTATCCCTAGGAGACCCAGAATCCCTCGCTATCTACCTAATAGGAGGAAGTAGGAAGGGACACTGTTGGGGGTGGGGTATTTCCCCAGTTGGGGCATGAATAAAAGTCCCCCAGAGGAGCCGTAAGCTCCCCTACCAACCCAACGCCTTTCTGGCTTCAGCCCACTCCATAATCTACCCTCTGAAAATCCAGTTTATACCTGATATCTCAGTTCCCCTGACCTTAAATTTCAGAAATGTGCAAGAAGGCGTACAAAGCATACATGCATATAAAGCATTACAGTGCTTACTGAGCACTTACTAGATGCCAGGGGCAGTTCTAGATACCTTACACACATGGTCCCATTTAATCGTACAACAAACTATGAGGCGATGCGGGGCCTGTACTGTTATCACCTCTATTTCATAGGTGGGGAAACTGAGAGGGATTGAGCAACTTGCTCAAGGTCACACAGTTTGAAAGTGATACTTAACCAAAATTACCATTTGGTTGATTTGTCTAGCTTAAGTAAAGATTTATTCTTATTTTAAACATGAGTTCTAGTCCCAAAAGGTTTCTTGAAAATGGGTTTGCAGTTACTGCACCATTATTTAAAAAATGGGACATTATGGAAAATTTTGTCCTTTAATCAAATTCAGTTTTGAGGGATGAATAAGTCATGCACTATAAAATAGATTCTGTGGTTAATGCACAAACTGTGTATTTAATACTTTCACATACCCATATAAGAAAGGCCAGGCTAAAGGGCATTTAATCAGACTGTCTTTGCACACTAATAAAAAATACCTAGCCTGCATCATCAAATAAAACACACAGTTTCTGTTTCTTTCAAAGTTCCCAACAACATTATGGATACCACACTAGCTTGACTATTTACTGCAAGGATTCAGTGGAACCCACTCAAAATAAAAACCGTGGGTTAAAATTGTCACAGCTCAATAATTTATGTGATGATAATGGCGTTTGACGGTATTAATATTCACTTATTCTAATGCCTCGGTGCCTAGGACAGAGTATACGAAAGGACTGAAATATTGACTGACTCACTTTGATTTACAGAAGAGCCTGGCAGAGCCCATTATATAGAAGATGCTATTTTAATATTTCAATTTCCTTTAGTTTCATTAACTACATATGTGAAATCAGTTCCAGTTTCTTTTAGAACTTTCATGATATATTTTGGGGTTGTAAAAGGGGACAAGGGAATGAGGATTTGGCTCTGCTGATAACCAATAGTAGTAATAGCATATAGAGTGAGAAATCTCTCATATGTGATGTGCTCAGGACCAAAATTTATGCTACGTGCTAATAAATCACAGCACAAAATGAATATTTGCCTTTGGAAGCTGGCACGTGTATGTGTGTTTTCTGATTATAAGGCTTTCAAATTATCATA